CGCACAGCCTTGTGTATACATCGTACAGATGAAGTGGATATTTGTTATCTGAGTTCACGTAGTGAGACTCTGGTCTTTCCATGTTCTGTGGCTGCGAATGAAGAGCATCCAGTGAAAATCGGGATAAATCACTCAAAAGAAGTTATCTCTTAGTTCTCAAACAAAGGCATTTCAATAGTCTGTGAACATTCACAAATGCTTCTAAAGAATTAATATTATGAAGCGGAATGAGCAAATATGTCTCAAGAATCCATACAGAAAAGAACATGACATTTCAAAATTAGTTCTACATCAGAACCACAGCAAATGAATTAAAAAGTTATAAAACAAATATGCATCATGATGTTGGTGACTGGAAGTTGGGTACTTCACAGACAAATTAGCAATATACCAACACTAGAGTTGAAATATGGTAATAAAAATCATGGAAATAAACGTACAAAATGTGCTAAATTCTTTATTCTTCTCCAAATATGAATAATATCAAATCTATCTTAAGAGTAAATATAGTAGAACATTTGTTGTGGTATGACATTACAGATAATGGGTTAAAACAGAATCTGTGATACTGCTTATCAATTAGTTCTGGTGGGATGAATTAGACCTAGGTATTAAAACAGTTAGTTTTGAGAAAATCCAATTTTATTTTCTTTATGTATTATTTGAAGATCTTCATTTTCACTAATGCGATACAACTTAGCTATTTATAAAATGTGTTATCATATACTGACAGCTGTAACCACTTGGCATTCTAGTTACATGACAACCCTGGATAACCAAACAATGCATGTTAATCTGAAAGAGTCAAATGGACATTTATTTTGCAAATATGCCATAGGATTTATAAATGCAAGCAAAAGTAAATATGCTCATATTACAAGGTAAGACTCAAATTTTAGCTGTTTTAATGAAAGTTTACAATCCAAACTCCATTTAAACACAGTTGATGCAGTGAGATTTCAAAAAATAACTCGTGTAAACCACGTAAGATAGTATAACATCAGATCTGAGCTGCAGTCACATTCTGCACCTGCTTTTGCACGAATAATGCAAGTTAGGAAATAAAATTTGATTATTTGTCACTGTGACTGTGAATAACATAAAAAAATTTTTGAAATCCTTAAGCACAAAAAATGATTGATTTTATTTCCTTACAGACCTACTGCTGTGCATATGCTAAGGCATATTAAATAAGTGATATCAGAATGATGCCTTACTGGAAAGATACATTGCAACTCTGGAAAAGGATATGGATGATAAGAAGCAAAAGAAACTTTAAAGACAGAGACAGAGAGGATTCCATGGAATTCTTTTCAGTTATCTGAATAAGTTTCCTACTCTGTCCATGCCACACCTCCCCTGTCCTTCTTTACATCACCTCTTCCAATGTGCCCCACCCCCCACTCACATAGTTATGAAGTCATGAAAATGGCCCATTCAAGATACAGTTGGAAAGATATTCTGGAAATACAATGGCCAAAAAGTAAAACAACCTTCCTGCTCTCATGGAGCTTACATTCTATTAGAAAAAGTTGACATTACATTTGTAATCACTCAAAGGAATATATAATCACAATTATGATGATGGCTATGAAGGAAAATACAGGCCTCCAATCAAAGTACCCACTCTCAGCTGGCAATTATTAACCTGTTCTCTTGAACTATTAACCAGCCATGATGGCTGGATTTGCAGTGTAACTTACTTTAACATTTTCTCATATAAATGGTCACTCGTTGCTTTCATACAAACACTGAAGTAAAATGTAAATTAATAAAGTAATTGTTGGAATGAAGTGACCAGTTAAACATTCACAGAGAAAACAAACAAACAAAACTCAATTCCCAGGCAAACAGGTAAACCTAAATTCTAAATAAAATGGAGAATAAAGTAAGCACTATCAGTGGTCTCAACAATACCAAAGACAAGTTTCAAACCTAAAAAGAAAGCAACCACAATTGCACAAAGACCATTTGGATGGATCTGGCCACAAGCAGCAGAAGTAAGGTTTGCTCTAGAGAACATCTCTTTTCAGCTATACCTAAGAATGCTAAGATTCATTGAAACAAAGTTTATTCCTAACTGTATCCAGTTAAAGATGACCCATCTTTGTTCCTAAAACATGAAAGCAAATCCAGATAATTGACTCTGGGGTTTGACAGTATGACCAATTATGAATAGAGGCACAGTGGCCTATGGGAAGAGCGAGAAAGCGTCCCTTTATTCATGATTCCGTGAGCACACAGCAATGTCTCCAGCTGACTTAGCTGTTTTTGTGATGTACAAATGATAAGGGATTTTCCAGTTTGCAAACCCTGAAAAAGTTCATTAGAGAGTATGGAAGGATCCACACCAACTCTGTAAGGATACATAACAATGATACCAAGGCTTACCTCTACAGGGAAGACTAGGGAGGAAGATGAGAAAGGTATCAGAAGGAATGTTCTCTTCAGATGAGTTAGTTTTTCTTCTTCTTCTTTTCTTTTTTTTTTTTTAAATGAAATGCATTCATTTATCACTGGGCATTTACAATTTTAGAAAATATTTAAGACTCCATATAGAAGAAATCAAAAACACAACAACAATGCTCCTGAACCCAATTTTACTAATGGATTTTTTTTTTAAAAAAAAAGGACATTAATCCAGACATGATCATTCCAGAGAGCTTGAATTCACTACTCCTAAAGAAAAAAGTGATGTCAAAATAATTCTCCAAGATTATATTGTGAAGGAAAGATTTGTTGGCATGAATTTACAATGCAAATCAGTTATTTTAGACTGGGCAGGTTCATACTTATTTTATGCACAACTAAGATTTAACCTAATACAGGAAGCTACAATGTAAAGTTCTAGACATTTTTTGACTTCTCCGACAGAAGGCACTAGGCAAGGATACCGAGCTGTGAGCAACCCTGATTCAGGTTAGCCTTATCTGTTTAAATGACGATCACCTTTGCCCATTCTAGCGGCACCTCCATTCTGTCATTTGACTAACTCGTCCACATCTGACTTCCCTATTTCAATGACACTCCTTGAATGTGGATGCAAGTTATAGTCAAGATTGTACTTTTGATCTAGAAAGCAGACTTATTTAATTAACTTGTAATTAAAGAAGACTTACAGATCATATTTTTTCATTTCTATACATCTAATTAAACAACGTGTAAAGGGACCAGTATGATTTGCAAAATACTGAACTCCATCTTAAATCTTCTTTCCCCATTTAACATCGAAAAGCACTCTGGTCCCATGAATAGAAGAAGAATGTGAAGGAAAAAAAAAAACCAAATCCATGCCCTCTGTAGTTTTGTGCAGATCAAGGAATAAAAAAATAATGAAAGTTTAAGCAAAAGTATGTTTGACACACATACTAACAGAAAACATTTAAGACTGGCATAGCATACCCAAACAAAATTAAGGGACACTTAACACTGATTACACCAAAACAAATATCAGCTTAGTTTACAAACATGAACTACTCCTTATGTAGAGTTAAATGGTTATATAACCAGAGGATTATTCTTAAGAGTTACTTTTCCACAATATAATGAAAACATGTGTGTGCATATTTAGAAAGTTTGTGTGTATATATATGTATTCATGCCAATATACAAAGGAACATATATAAATATAGATATACTTCACTCAGCCAGTAAAATAAAATATGAATACAGTTACCTCTATGCCATTCTGAATCTAATACTAAGGAACAAGGTGGGAAATGCGCACTTTAAAAGAATGAGTGGCAATTTGTCCTTAAAACAAAAAGTTAAAAAACATCCCAAATGGTACACAAAATCGCGAAAAGGAGCAATACATATTGTCACTAACAGTTGCTCGAAGGCTTAAAATTAGTTTAAATTATATTATTGAAAAATGGTTGATCAAAACACACACTGCAATAGCATACGTTGTTTTTTGTTTTTATAAACTCAAAGTATCCAAACCACATTTGTTTCTAAAGCTCTACTTGACACATTTAAGACTTTGATACCGTTTCCTACTTATTGGCCAGTTCATGTTCAGTGCTTTTTTTAAGCAGAAAAATTTCCCTGCTAGATGACACAGACGTGAAGCTGAACAACTGTGGCCTTTGGCCCCAATTCACCAGATCAAGATTCACAGCATAAGAAAGATTTAGAGAATTCAAGGATAAGACACATCCCTGGGTTTAAAATAACCAGAAAAAAAATGCAAACAAATACAAACAAAAAATCTAGAGACCAAGGGCATATTCACTAATACATAGTTTAAAATGTTTGGTTTAAAGGCACTGATACATATTTACCACAGCTGCCTATCGTATACCTCCTTTTCATGAAAACACTAACCACAATATGGATGGTTCTAAATGGTGAATTATACAAGCTTTTAAATTTGGCACCAATGCCGTCAAAGACTACGCATACCTGACTTACCAAGTGATGCAGCAATGTATACCTGGCTGATAATGTTCTTAAGACAGAGTTAATATGCACCTAAGAAAGAACTGGCTTGTCCTGCTCCTTTCTCTCCTTCACAATACTGCCTTTTCCACGTTATCATGGAGGCAGTATGCACACATGACCTCTAGCAGACAGCAAGGTGATGAGCAGGACATTTCAGTGCTGCTCACGCTTAGACTCACATCCCAGTGGAGAATGTCTGGGGTAGGTGGGCTCCAGAGTTAAATGTCTAAGGATGATATATTATGGTGACCATGCTCATCATTTAACCACCATTGAATGATACTGCAAAAACTGACACCAAAACCTGTAGCTCATTTTTAAATACACTAATTATCTAAGCAGCTGTCATAAAAATCACTCTAAAGAGTAAGAAAAAAAGAGTGAAACATTTTGATGGTTTTTTTCTTACCTTAAGTTCATAAAATATTCATTAACACTCATACCTACCTCCCAGTGCCCATTACTAATGCCAAAAGGTATAAATACATTTGAATAGTTTAGACACACTGCAATTCACACAGATGATATTAAGTAGAAATAAAATTGTGTAATACCTTTACTTTTACCTATTGATTTGATGAAATGGTTCCATGAAGAAAGGGTTTCCATAGAGAATAAAGAGGAGAGAAACAACAATAAGAATTATGAATATATGTAAATGCACTACTCTTTGTAAATTAAACAAGACAAGAAAGAATAATGGTTTGAAAACAAATGGAGATATAATCAGTGCATGTTGACAAATCTGCCCTTTTTTATAAGGCAATACATGCAAGGAAATTGGAAAGACCATGCTCACTTTAAAATATTCCACAAAAAGAAGACACGTAATGACTACAGGTAAAAGAAGCATTGATTCTGTGGAACACTATACTCAGCACTACAGAAGCCAGAAGCCAAAGATGTCCACATGTTCCCAAACTGCCATGCATGGGTGAAAAATGGACTCTTCATGGTACACTACGTTAAACTGAATATCCTCTTTCAGATATCAATTTTTGAAGGTTCTTGGTTTTTCTTTACTATAAGTACCCTTAAAAACAAGTCTTTAGGTCTCAGTTATTTTCAGATATCACAGTGCAAAGAATGAACAGAAACAGATGTTAAAGGAGCAAACCAAAAATCAAACCAGCAAATAAAAGGGAGACTAGCACATGAAAAAAAAAAAAATGTGAACATTAGTTACGTATTTAATTTGCAGCCAGATCATTCGCAAGCATGTTCCCATCCTTTGCAATGATGGGTTGAAAGCAGCTACAAAACAAGAAAACACTGAGAGCAGAGTGGAAAAGGAACAGAGCCCATACCTTGGTCGCCCATCATCAGGTGCGCCAGACCTTGAAGGGAAACAAGAGCACAGTCAGCAATAAACAAGGGAGCATGGGAAGGCAGGATTGTCACGGTGACAAAAATGTTCAGTGACAGACATCTTGTTTCCTATGAGACATGTCTGTATCACAGAGGCAAATCAAAAAGCATTCTCTCAACCCCTGGTTGGAATGCTGTGGGGCAAGAGCTATAGAACTACAGTTTAAACACTGGCTTCTGCTGCACTGTGTATTCTGTGTATCAGTTGGCACAATGAAGAGCATAAGAGCATGACTTAAAATCCAACCAATCCCTTTTGCATCTGCCTTTCAGGCCCTTTGAGGAGACTATTTTGAACACTGCCTCCCCAGGGCTTGTCAGTCTTCAGTGCTTAAATTATATTTTGAAAAACCCAAAGGAATACCTAAAAAATGGGCTGGGTCTGATCTTTTTCCCCTCATCAAAAAATGAGAAATTTCATAATTAAATAAAAAAAAATCCTTAGTCACACTGAAATGATAATGCAGAAATGTCTCCTTGTCTGACACATTTGGCAATTAACTAAGCTTGTCCAAATACAAAAAAGATCATTAGACATGCAGTTGTGAAGTTAGAAGTTACTATAGAATAATATTTTAAAAAACAACATATAAGCTTTAAATAGGCTCCAGTAATTTTCCATGGAGAACAAAATTATTTATAATTTTACTTAAACATAACTAAAATGAGTTAATGTATGTGTTAAATATATATTTACATATATGTATCAATTTCATCAAGGAAGTTTTCTGAAAGAATATTGAATTCCCTTTATTTAAATTATTTATTGTCTCTTACTTGACAACTTCAAATTCAAGATTACTTCTTTTCTAAAGAATACTACTAATGTATTTTATTTTATTTTATTTTATTTTATTTGTTCCTCACCTGAGGATATTTTTCTACTTATTATCAGATAACGTGAGAGGGAGGGAGACAGAGAGAAACACTGATGTGACAGAGCCACATCGACTGGTTGCCTCCTGTACGACCGGACTGGACCAGGGTCGGGGATGAACTGCAATCAAGGTACGTGCCCTTGACCGGAACTGAGCATGCAACACACTGGTCCACAGGACGACACTCCACCCGCTAAGCCAAACCGGTCAGGGTACTAATTTTCTTTCTTTCTTTTTTTTAAGTTATTTTACTATCCAAGTAGATACTTTTTACTGAAAGGCATAATTCCTACTTTTTATTCTAAATTCCAGAATAAAGCTACAATTCAATCAGTGTATGTTTTAAAAGTATGCGAAAATGTTAGCGCGATATAGCATGCATAGTTTTTATAAAATTTATATTTTATTTCCTAGTGTTATTTCAAACATAGTTGAGACTTTATTTGGAATATATAACATTCTGCATTACTTGTGTAAGTATTAAAATAATCAGTGTTATTTCCTTAAAATTTTATGGGTATTTAAACATTCCTTGGGGCAGAGACGATTACAAATCATCATCTAATCACAATATAAAAATGATTAAACATAGTAGTCTAAGGTTTTTATCATCTAGACTCTTTTTGTATTTTCTAAGGGATTTCAACAAAAAATATAATCAACACAGGCAGACTGCAATCTTTATGATCTGTTGGTGATTCATGATATTTCATATGCCTAGGAATAGTGGCTTATCTGTCCAAGTGATATAATTTTTCATTTAATTTCACTTTTAAATCTACTATATATATTTACTAATAACAATGTATAACCTTATGTAGTCTAAATTAGGAAATTATTTCTGTGTCAGATCTAACTATTATAAAATATATTAGACATCTCTACTGGTCTTTAATAACCACCTTAGTAAGGATGGAAATTAATACATTTTAAAAGCATTCACACTCCTCATGCTAGATTTCTTACTTCTTAGGGAACTCGACTTTATTACTAAAGTTGAGTTATAAATAGGGATGTTAAAATTATGATTGAATAAACTTTATTGCAATAGTTTATGGGTCTACACTCTGAAAATCTTGTAAAGAATTTTAATGGGATGATTGTGTGTGAGGAGAGAAGCATTCACGCTTAGTAGACTCGTTTTAATGCCTTCAGGAATGCAACTGGATTTAGAGAGCAAAGAACAAAAAATATGAAACTCTAAAGGATGAGTAAAGAAATGCAAAAGAAGTTAAAAAGGTACTTTAAAAAGTTTTCAATCTTAATTAACATGCACAATATAAGTGAGACTGGTTTTGAAAAATGTCAGACCTACAGGGTAGTATCATCTTTATCAAGTATATACTCACATATTATTAAAATTATAGTATAGAAAAACAGAGCCTTATACAGAGCCAAGAATTGGGAAAAATAATCAGTGATGACTTCTTCAGCAGTTTTAATCTATTACTTAAACAATAAAACAGATATGTTCAGCAACCAAGCAACTACACTGTACATGAATGAATAACAAAGAATATGCTTAAACTTGCTACTGATCAACTTAAGATGACCATGAATTGTTTTTTTTTATTTGAAACATCAAATCTTCATAACTCTACTATTTATCTCTAACCTGTAATGAGGATTTTTTCCTAAAAATTCTGTCATCCTTTTACAAATGTATATTATTTTACAAAATGATTTTATTTCAAAATATTGTAGCAAAATCAAATATGCTATATGTTTGCTTCTGACATGTAGATATTGGTAAATTGTTTATGCAAAACTGTTAATGCTATAATTATGTAATTTGATAGAACACCATCTTCCTTTCCACAACTCTTTGCTCTACCTAGTTCTTTTTGCATTTTTATCACGAAGAGATTTGTTTGACAGTGTACCAACTAACACATTTAATTTCTATAAAAACAATATGTTGAAATATGTTTAGTTTGTTGGATTCTATAGGAAAAAAGTATAATCAAAATTTCTTGAAAGATAATTTTTGAAAGTTTGAATAAATATGTTGGTTTTATTTAACACACACACAGAATATTACAAATATACTTACCATTAAACACGGTGGAGTGCTGTACGCTTTCATTTCCACTGGCCAGTGGCTTATTTTTTAATCTAAATGTATGCCTCTTTCTTATTGTCAGTACTTCATTCTCTATTTTTATAAATCAAATCATTTAAAACTAAACCAATGGGCTTGAGATGATGAAATGCTAAACAATTCCAAAAGGAAAAAAAAATCATTTTGATCAAGAAAAAATGGAGAAAGGATCATGCACTGTGTTCTGAAATTGCAAATAAATACTTTCTCATTTAAAAACAAAAAACAAAACACACAAGAAAAGGATTGTATTATTTTTCCATACAGAACACTGCAATAAGTATTCCAAAGTTCATACAGGACGCTGACATCCATCAAGGATTGAAATTAAGGTTGAGGAGTTTCATATACTTGGGGTGGCTGGGGTAGTGAGTATGTGTGTTCTATATGAAAAGTGATCCACAATCCAGAAATCAACAAATGCTCAGAGAGAAGTTCAACTTACCATCTAAATTCGAGATGTACTGAATTGATGCTAAGAAATAAAAGGCAAATGAGATTTGGAAAAAAAAGTAAAGAGCACCCACCTTCCACATTGTTGTCTTCTGAAAGCACATGACAAGGAGGGAGAGAAAAGGAAAACATTCATTAAGCAGCATGCAGACTGGACCTTGCCTTTGCATGTCTTCCTCATGCAAGGCACCAACACATCATGCAGTGCTCCGTCGCGACCATTCGAAGGGGAAAACAAAGCCATGGGAAGCAGGTTCCCGCCCACTGGCAGCATTTTAAAAATGTGAGACTAAATTTCAGTAATAGCGGTAGGTCCTGAGAAAGGAGTTTTGAAGTCTTTCCCTGCCCTGTGTACAGCAAACATTCTTACATGTTGCTAGCATGGTTTTTCAGGGCAATACTTTTTAGAGCTTTTTTTATACCATTCTTAAAGATTCTATTTCTGAATTCTGATTTGGACTTGGATGGAAGAAAAAAATGACATGAAATCTCACGTAAAGATACTCCAGTTCTACTAAATATGTAATCCATTTTCTATCATGGCCTTTAAGTATTTCTAATACTTGAATTTCTTTCCTTAAAGAAACACAACATAAATATGCAACTAAAGTCTACAATTTATTTGACTTATTCACAGCATTCATATTTTATCGCAAGTGATGATAGTTTATTGTGATTATTAAAGTGCTGACTTTTAAACTGTTAAGTAGAAAAAGTGACCACTGCAAGAGAAGTTCATCTGAGAATGTCCATTAGGCAAAGTTTATCAAGGTTTATTCACTTTGTACTTCTGTTAAGGGTGTGAACATGAACAAAGTTAACATGAGCACCACATTTGGTAAACTTTCCTCATATTTCTACACATCTATATAACATTCACATATTTTATATATTTATTTAAATGCATTTCTGCATATATATAATCAGATTTATATGTATTTCCTACATTTAATCCATGTAAGTGAATGGGCTTTAAACTGTTATTAGTATATACCGGACAGTTCGAGAACTGTTTGAGACAGACAGGCCTGGGCACCCAGGGAGGAAATGTAAGAGAAAACTATTCTATGGGACTAGGGCGAGAGAAAAGTTTTAGTACTAAACAACATTCTTCCAATGATAAAGTATATCCATCTTGAAATTCTTAGTCTCATTCTTAAATTCCTTTTAATTAGTTATATTTTTTTAGGTGGTTATTTGATCAGAAGTGTTTATAAGGAGCAAAACAGTAGCAACTGTAAAAACAAGAGAGATATAACTATAAGTGAATCATTTCATAAGGTTTGACAAATAATTTTTTTAATGGTAATGTTGTTAATGATTTAAAAATCATCACTTTTGTTTAAATTATATTAGTTGGAAACAGAAATGTCAACACAGGCACATCTACGCATGTGGTCTTAATACATAATAGAAAATAGCTAGTGGATAAATGTGGACAATAACAGCGATACAAAGTATGTGGTTTGCCAGCGTTGATTTAAAAATAAAATTTAAAAAGAATTGAAATATTTTGTATGTGATAGTCTTTTATTGTGTGAGCTTGGCTTCCAATCTACCCAATAATTAGACTGAAATTGTTACTTTTCAGTGGTAACTCAGACATGACATGAACACAAATATTAAAGTTTAATTTTAATGATATTTATGGGAAATTATACAAAGATCCAGATTCTTTTAATATTTAAGGTACACTTTGGTTGCATACTAAATGTCCTTTGAAATTCTATTCCACCTTTAAGGTGATTATTTTAATAAGATTATTTAATATGTAGAGTAACAGCAATTTCATGGAGTTCAAAAGAGAGTCAAGTGCCAGAAAGGTGTATCTGTCAATTACTGTAGCACTATTTAATTTCTGTAAACAAAAATCTGGCAAATACGGTTGTGAGTAGGACAATCCCAGAAAGAGGTTTTGGTCAAGTGCTGCATAAAAGACCAATAGGAAAGGAAAAATTAAAAATAAACCAATTAAATAAAACAAACCCAGGCTTGACAGCAATTTAAAAAATGTGCTAAGTAGGATATCAGGAAAAGTTGTGCTAATAAAATCAAGGTCACTGATTTGCTCCCCCAAAGTAAATCCTCATTCCACTGTTAACTAAAGCCCAGGGCCACAGCTGTGCCTTTGACCCTACCTCTCCTTCCAGCGCTTTTCTGAGGCCTTATTCATAAGGAGAACCACACTGAGTAATGGGACTCAAATCCCAGTCTTGACCAATGTGTAAACAAACCCTGACTTGACCAAGTTCAGAAAAATGGTCTGTATCGGAAGACTTGGATTTAAAACAAAAATCTAAGCACTAGTGTAAAAGGAAGGGTAATATATTAACTCCTGTTTAAAAAGGAATACAACTGGCTTGGAACAGGCTTGCCCTGAGTTTCCATATATTTTCAGATTCAAGCATAGGATTAAAAACCTTCTCGTTACTTGTTTCATTCTATTCTATCCTTTAGCATCCATTTGTGGGTTTTGGTTCATTTACAAGCTGTTAACCTAAAGATGATCCCCTATTAATTCAGAATTTTGATGCAGTTATAAATGGCGGGAGCCCTGGCGTTTACAAATCACTCTCCAGGTATTTTTTCCATTTCTTGTTCCTTTCTATTTGGCTTTGATCTAAACTAAAAATACCCAGTTTAAAAGAATAGTTTTTCTGATCACTTCAACTTTTGCTTTCTCTATGGATCCTTATGCAATCAAATATTGTCTTGGTTTTTAGCAGCAACACAGAGAGGTGCTGAAGTTGGCATGCCACAACGTGAAGACAAAGCAGTATCTTTTACATTAGTGTGAATGTGCAAAGCAGTCCATCCAGCCTTACCTGCAGACACTGTCAACTTAGGGAAAAGCTCTTGGTTTGCAGAGAACCCTGGCTTCTTAATTCTGTTCACCTAACCCTGCTGTGTATATGAAGTGAGTCTCTTATAAGCAACTTCACTATAATGACCATGCCACCTTAAAAAGATCACATTCTTTTTTTCCCCCTTTGGATTGTGAAAATAATGAACACAAAACAAAACCAGGAAAAAAAATACCTCAAATTTTATTTTTCTTTTGGCTAAGACATGCTTCCTTCACAAAGATGGGAATTAGGCACCAGAATATCAATCATATTATGAATGATGGTGGTGTCCTGACATCAAGGAAGGCTGAAGACTGTTCAATTGTATGCTTTTAAATTACTTCAAAAGAGCAGCTCTACAAAAATGTTTCCTTTCGCCCCCAGCCTGTAAGAATGCAAGGACAGCCCTGGCTGGTTTGTCTCAGTGGTTAGAGCATTGGCCCACAGACCAAAGAGTCACTGGTTCGATTCTGGTCAAGGGCACACACATACTTCGGTTGCGGTTCATCCCCAGCCCTAGTTGGGGTCGTGCAGGAGGCAACCAGTAGATATGTACCTCTCACTTCGATGTTTCTCTTGTTTATCTCTCCTTCTCTCTTTCTCCCTCCCTCCCACTCTATCTTAAGATAAACAGAAAAATATTCTCAGGTGAGGTTTAAAAAAATGAATGCAAGACAATTCTCTAATTTATCATGTCAGCATTCTTTGGACATAATCTTAATTACATATATAGAAAAGAGAAATGAGTAAGAAAACAGATGTGCTTGTTTCAATATAAAGAAAACCAGAAATGCAATCATGACAAGTGGGTAAATTAAAATTTGAAATAAAATATCACAAATAACCCCTTTTTGTACAATCAGTGTTTAAGTTTAACTATATGAAAAGGTTCATCAAAATGTACAAGCAGTAGTCAACTTATGTACTATATTTTACATCTAAAAAATGGCCAAAAGTTTGTCGCCACTTGGACTTTTCTTCTCTTACTTGGTTTCCTTCCTTCTCTGCTAGTTGCCTGCGACTGGCTCCCTTCATTTTCGTTGGCTCCCCGGCTCTGCCATCAAAAATGCAACAGAAGGGGCTGCCCCACCCTGACCCATGCCCTACCAGGTAGGGTACATAGTAACAAAACTGGAGCAAGGAATGCAGAAAAATATTCGATTTCCTTCTTCTTCTTTCATACCTTGGACCAGCTAGCTTCTATTCTTGCCTTTCTAGCCCCTCACATTTCAAGACATTACCCCCATTTTGGAGACTAAATGCCAGTGTGGCAGAGTTTGGTTCCCACGGTGGTGCAGGATGGGGCTGTGTTTAATTTTATTTTACTTTTGGTGTTAGCAGTGAAAGCATCCGTAGTCTAGGGAGGCGTCGACGACTGGGAAATGGAGGGAATCATGGAGACCGGATTTGTACAGCAGTCAGCTGGAGGAAAAGAAATGACGTTCAGAACCAAGAGAAGGTTCAACAAAAAATGCAGCATAAAGGTCCATATGGAGACCTAAGGAAAGAAAGAATCTGGGAAGAAATCTGGCTAGTTTCAAAAACGCTTTCAACAGGTGGCCTCAGGAATTTAATTTAAATCTACTTAAATTACACCCCCACCCAGCCTGATGAAATCCAGGTTCTTGGACATAAGGAGAGCCAAATAAAGTAGCTCATTTTTTCCTCTCTCTTTACTGCTCAGGAGTGAAGGAGTGGTATCTCTAAATCAGCGTGCAGCAGGAGAGATGTTCCTGACACCACAGTGGGAACTCAGAAACATTTCCCAAGGTACATTATGGGCAACGTCTGACTATACTTCTGGTACCTGGCTGTGACTCAAGTATATTATAGAATTAACAAGTCCTTTGTGAAGTGTTTGGAGAAGTTTACCTTGCCTTACAGTGTTGTTTCCATGGGAAACTGTGATAAGGGTTTCAAATGACACTGGAGACGGCCTGTGTTTCTGCTTCACACAGGGATGTTGTATTACAAGGAAGACTGGGGTATTTGATTCAAAATGCTCCATCTTGTGAATGGAGAAAGGAAAGAAGGGAAGAAAGGCAGGCAGGCTAATTATATGCTGATTCTTGCAGTGTTTCAGCTGTTTCGTGGACTTGATGGTATTTAATAATTATTAGCCAATATATTAAACCATATATTAAAAATGGCTCACATAAACTATATTGCATACAACTTCAAACTTTCTTTTCACAAGGAACTATTATGAGGATTTTGCTTTGGTTTTGTAGACTCAATTCTTCCCT